ACACACACACACACACACGCACCTGATGTCCTTGTTGTCGGGCGTCGTGGGCAGGTCGCCCTCCGCCGCCGTATCGAAGCCGCCGTTCACCCACGCCAGCGTCTGGTACCCGGCGCGGCTCAGGCGCTCGCAGGCGGAGAGGCTTCGCAGGCCGCGCTGGCAGCCGACAATGACTTTGGCGTCGAGGGGCACGCGCGCCTTGACCTGTTTTTTTTTTTCGGGGGTTCGAGGCCCGGATCGAGGGGGTTGCGAGGGCGGGATTCGCATAGGAGGAGTTTGGGTGGGCAGGGGGTCAGGTTGATGCAGTTGTGGGGGCGGCAACAGCATGGGTGTGTTTGAGGAAGGGCAAGGTGGGAAGCGAGGGCAGCCCGTGTGTTCTGGGTGTTGATTGGCGAAGGGCGTGCCGGCCGGCCGGCGGAGGGATGCTGGGGCGCCGCGGCCGCCCGGCCGCCGGCCCCGCCGCTGCTGGTGCCGCCGCCGGCGCGCCGGTCCGGGCTTTCGCTCGGAAGCGGCCGCCCCTGCCGCCGCACACAGCGGGCCGCGCCGACGGCGCGCCGCCCCCGTGCCGACCGCCCCCCCGCCCCGCGCCCCCAGATAATCTTTGCTGCCCTGAACCCTAAACCCTGAACTCTATATTCCTTTAAGCCCACCTCATCCATGAATGCCGGGTTGGGCACCATGTGGGCGCTGCCCAGCCACCAGCCGCCGGTGCTCCAGGCGCTGAAGCGCTTCAGCAGGCTGGCCGGGTCGGCCCGGGCCTCCGCCACAAAAAGGGGCACCGCCACCGCGCCGCGGATCGACACCTGCGCGGAGGCGCGCGCGCGTCCGGCGCGCGGGCGCGTGTGTTGCCGCGCGGCAGAGAGGAAGAAGGTTCCTAAAAGATCGCGCGCGCGGCGCCGGCAGCTGGCGCTTTTTGGAGTGGGCCCCCCGCCGCAGCGGCGCGGCCCCTCTGGAATCGCGCCTGCAGGGCCGGCCGCTGGCGTGGGCCGCCCGCGCGCCGACGCGTCGAGCGGGCTCGATGCCGCGGCGGCGCCACCTCCCATGAAAGACCCCGGCCGCGGCGGCACCGGCCTCGCGGCCCGGCGGCCGGGGTCGGGCGGGGCCCTGTTTGCGCCGTTTGGCCGTGCGGTGATCTAGGAGAGCCCCAGCCGCGGGCCCCTTCTCATTGCTGAATTCACCTTTGCCACCTCGTTCGGCGGCCGCACGTCCAGCAGAACCCAGCCCTGCTCCATCAGAGCCGCTGCGGGCGCGCGCAGCCGGGCACGGCGGGGCGCACGGG